CACACGCACACACACACACACACACACATATATATATATATATATTTATATGTATACACCCTCAGACTTGGATTTGTCTTTGTGTGCACATCTACAATAGTTCATATAATCTATTTTGATGTATAGATTTCGACAGCATAACACAATTCATTTATTGTGTATAATTGTCCGTAGATAAACTTTCCGAGAAACATAGTCTGGAGTAGTGTGACAATCATTTTCTAACTCTAAGCCCTTACTTTGCAAATCGAGAGTGTATATAATATGTATGTATAGATTAGAAAACAGGGTTGTATGATTTTGTATATGTTGTGTGGTGTGTTCTTTACGATGAAATGCTGATCAACACCAGCGTATCAACTGCAGCGACTTATTTTGTCTCGTTGTGGCTACATTATTGTTTTTCATGCAGGTCCTCGATCTTAAGAATGCTATAAATGATAGAGAGGGCTTGGGAGCCCCAGAACAGCAGAAGCTCATCCACTCAGGCAAAATTTTGATGAACGACAACACACTCGCCTCGTACAACATCAAGGAAGGTGACTTTGTTGTTGTTATGGTCAATGGACCTAAAAAGACTGCTGCGTCCCCTGCCGCAAAGGCTTCCTCGCCCACTCCAGTTGCCGCCCCTACACAATCTGAAAGTTCTCCAGGTTAGTTGTTTATTATCACAGCATTTCGTTTTATCTCTCTTCAGGATTTCCTATATAAAAATATTACAGTCCCTCACTGTTGTAGCTGGTGTATGTATCCATCACTTCACCGACTATGGAGTTCGGAGGTCGCTTTCGAAGTCTAGTAAGCCGCGGACAATTCTTTATTTTTATACGTCAAAGTCGACTAGCGCCTAGTCTCACAGCTACTGATTATTTGGAGTGCAGTATTTCCAACATATGTCACGCTGATACCTTGATTTCTCCTTTCAGCACCACCACCAGCTGCCACCCCGGCAAGTACAAATCTAGATGAGGCAACTATCACTCGGTTGTCTGATATGGGTTTCCCACGAGAGGCTTGCATACAGGCCCTGAATGCTGCATTTGGTAACGGAGACCGAGCGGTAGAATACCTCATGAGCGTATGTTTGATTGTATGCACTTAGTCAACTGCAGCTGATAACATATGGTGGCTGTTATCGCTGTGCATTCCGTGCACGGATTTGAGTCTTAGTCAGGGGTGATTTCGGCTGAAATTATACTTCGCGAATTACAAGCGTTACGGAAACAACTGCTCTGCAAATTCAACTATTACAGTAATTTTTTTCTCGAATGAGAGCCGGCCGTCGTCATCATTCTGACCTTTGGATATCGTTGTATAGCTAGAATATCCATGAGGGCAACGGGCTTCTCACTCTTATCATGTTATATAGTTGTGTTACGACACAGGGTAACGAAATTCACCCTCTATTACGACACAAGTCTATAGCTTGTACACCATCCTTGATTGTAGTATTTGATTATGGACTTCCGTTTCACGTAACAGGGTATTCCTGAGCAACCAGAGGCACCCGAGTCAGAGCACATGGACGACGGCGAGGACGAACCCGACTCTACAGGACCGCAGGGTGACCAAGGTATGCACAACTTTTACGGATCAAATTTTACTCTTGTATGGCAATCCTGGTCAGACTACACACACACATTGTCTATCTATATATACGTTTCGTACCAAATATTTCGATGCAGGAACTGGAGCACTCGCGTTCCTTAGGACGCAAGCCCCTTTCATACAGATGAGAGCTGCCATCCAGCAGAATCCACAGTTACTACAGCCTTTGCTTCAGCAGCTTGGAAGCACAAATCCCGACCTTTTACATGTACGTACCGATTTGTGGCCGAGGGCTTTATTGTTCAATTTTTCAGGGCGGTGTAGCTTAGTGTGGCAGCATGACTATTCTTCTATAATCTATAATTAATTCAAACCTGTCCGATTTTCTATGTAGATGCTGAATAATAATCAAGAAGAGTTTCTAACACTACTAAATGAGACGACTGGCGGCGGCGCTCCATCAGGACAAGTACAAATTCGAGCAACTCCTGAGGAGAAGGCGGCTATCGATAGGGTTCGTTTTTGTATTAGTACTGTTTCAGATTGAAAGTTTCTTGAGTCGGAAAGACAATTTTATTATACTGTAGGTGCTTTATAAAGCAATTGTTATGAGTGTCAAATCAAGTGAATCCGAAATATGATGGTAATTGTATACGCGGATGCAAAGTATTCTTCAGTAGCACATACGTGTACATTCAGGCCTGCAGATGTGTATTCTTGTTGTTGCATTTCAGCTATGTAGGCTTGTTGTTGCATTTCAGCTATGTAGGCTTGTTGCATTTCAGCTATATAGGCTTGTTGCATTCACGCAAACATCAATGCAAACTTCGTTAAATGATCATATGAAAACTTGCCATGGCTGTACTTTTTTGCGGGACATGTCCTTTTCCGATCAGAACTTTTTGAATAATTCTCTATTATTTTGCAGTCTAGTCTGTAGCTATTACAGTTGAAATGGTTTATGGATGATTGGGTGTATACGGATATCTGGTCGCAATATGGCTGAGCATCATTTACACGGCTACGCAAGAGCGAGCTTAGCTACCTTCCTTTTATGTAGCCTTAAGTGTCATCATAGCTCGAATTTTCAATGGAAGTTCTTGTCACAATTGTACAAACTACGATTGCGCCTTTTTCTTGTATTCATGTTGATAACCCGGTTTTTTTAATTCCCGGTAGTTGGTTGCCTTAGGTTTTGAGAAGGGACAAGTCATCGAGGCATACTTTGCCTGTGACAAGGATGAAACTCTGGCCGCAAATTATCTGTTCGACAGCAACAATTGGGATTAATGGATTTGTCTCATTATAAGTACCTTCAGCTCTGCGTTGCTCTCCATGTCGTTTCAAATTGCCGGGACAAATTGAAAACATTATCAGTTCAAGCAGCCATTAAGTAGTTATGAATAACAACTGTTTCCTGGTTAAATATCTGTCAACAGAGAGTGAATAGGCAATCGGTTTTTAATAAATATTATTTGCAAAAGCGAGGGATTTATGAGAATTATTCGCAATACCAAAGATTAACTGCCATCATGTCTCTCTCAATTCGTGGAGGCCGACGCACTTGTTTCAATCATTGAAATTGTGCTTCGTCTTGTTCGCTTGTCGCCTGGAATGTCACTACGAGCCGCGTCATTCCAGACCCTAAAGTCCTCAGCAGATGTCTCCTCTATCGCTTCTGTAGGTACATGGTGTGCAGTCTCAGGCGAAGTGTCAACAGCTTCTGAGAGACTATTTTGGGCGGATGGTGATGTCATTTCTATCGGTTCTGTTGATACTATTGTAGGATCTGTATTTGGTATGGTATCTTGGATGGGTGTTGACTGTGTGATTGACGGATCCTCCATAGCGATTGCAATATCCCCCACTTTAGCAACTTTGTTCTCATCGGACGTTGTGCTGGGTTTGTTCTCATCGTAGGTTATGCTAGGCTTCTCCGTCTCGTCAACGGTCGCATCTTCGGGTTCAGCTGGTGCGGCTTTCTTCGTTGTCTGTGGCGATTCTTTTGGTGGCGTCATCGTGCGTGATGCTTGTTCAATAGCCAGCAGTGGCGCAAAGATCTCCTTGAAGTCTATATCTGCAACAGAGAATCTACCAGAGCCTGCAGTAGAGCTCTGAGAGTTTGCGAATATGGCATGGAACCCTCGCGCGATAAAGGGCACGGCATCTGAAAGTGATGGAAGAAGGCACATATTGAAACGGACATACAATTTCGGGTAGGGCGAGGCCCAATGGTCGACTAATTTAAAAACATGTCTGCGGTTATACTTGCTCATGCTGTACCATTAACAACGTGGCCAGAATAATGTACGAGGCTATGTTCATACCTGTTGAAAGCAACTGCATAAACCTAAGACTCTGGTTCACAATCTCGGGGTCGTCATCTTCCCGCGCTTCAAAAACATTTTGATGAGTGAACACTACGAGTGCCACTATATTATTCAAATGTTCGCTTACGATCCTTCGTATCGTATTGGCTGTCGCCAGAGGCGCGCAGTGTCGTAGATTGTTATAAGCGTCCACAAAACTGAGTACACATCATGGAAAGAATCAGCAAAAATTCATTATCCCACAGCGTGATTTTTCTAACCAAAATGGTTGAGAATGTGATAAAATTATATCGTACGTGTTGGAAAGCAATTTTCTACAAATCTTCATGCATAAGCACAAGCCTGAAGACAATCAAAACACACTAACCCGTTCACCAGCGTGGCCAGATAGGGGAATTCATTCAAAGCGGCTGAAGGTTGTTCAAAGTTCGAATTGCTCGGTTGACCTTCTGCAATATAACAAATAATTTTAGCACGTCAAAATTTAGAACGAGCAGCTTATCTCCAATGTTGGAATAGCCATCATTCCTTGTATATCAACTGGATCTATTCGACTACAGTATCTGGTTTCGGCAGATTGAACAAGGTTGATTCTTCTGGATACAGAGACCGACAATATTGACAACCTATTTTACATACTTGTGTATTCAATCGTCTCGGCACTCGTAGCAGCTGCTCGGTGTAGTGATGCAGCTCCTGCTGAAGATGTGATTACGTTTCTAGGCTTCGTTTTCAATGCCTTAGCGAACGCATTGGTCGTGTTTGAGGTTGCTTGGGCAAATAGGGTTATGATCCTCCCACAGAATAGCTCAGGGAGCAAGCCACGAAAATCAACACCAACCCTACCCAAGCTGGACCCCAGGTACATGCATTGGCCCAACAAGGAATTGATCAGAGTTCCTGTAAGACCATATCAATTTACAGTGAGGCTCGGTATTATGACGCAGTTATAGCATCTCAATCGCATATAAGAAAGTTGGCCCACTCTAGGTTGTCAAAGATTCAGAAGTTTTGCACCTACCCTCAGTCACTCGCGGTAGCTGAGATTTCAACATCGTCATGAATGCTGCCACAATATGATTCACCCATCCGTACATGAGTTGGCGAGACTGTAAATCACCTGACACAGGTTGTGTGAGAATTTTTGCGAAGTAAGCGATTTTGTTGGTGAGTTCGCATTCATCGAGAACTTTTCGTAAAATATTTATCTGTATAGATCAAATTGCACCATCAGTCGAACGATACAGTTGGGTTACTCACCTTTCCTTGTACCAGAATCCGGAAAGATGGCTCGATAGTGAGTTACAATATCAAACAATCCAATACGGCTGTATAAAGTATTGGTGAAAGGTTAAAATTGTTTTCAGAATATAGGATCGAACGGATTTCAGTAAACTTGAAATGGTAATGAGAAAATGTTTTGTCCGCTCTGCAGTGGACTTGTATAAAACAAATGAAAGGTCGCAGCGATCACCATCCGACTTACAAAGTTTCTATATATTTGTTGGTGTACGCGTAAGCGTCTGTGTCGCTCAGAGCATCCACATTTGTTTTCAGCCACAGGCCACGGGCGCTCAAGAACTTCAGTCGGAGCTCCTAAAAGTTACGTGTCGCACAGTGGATGCCAGAACGAGTGTTCGCACGAGAGCAGTGGTGTGTACATTGTAAAGAACAAAGTTGGTAGCATTTAATATCGTATTGCTTAAATACGAGAGATACCATAAGCAGGTAATCCAAGACGGTTCACCTCACGTCTAGGATCAACTACACGAGAAGAAATGTTTGAATACCACAAATCGTGTGATAAGTTACTTACTTTCTCCGTGAAACAATTCATGCGCCGCAAATGGCCAACGACGCGGAGGCAAGCTGGCAGATTTATGTCACCTCGTAGTAGCTGAAAGAGAATGTGAACGGTATACTGTCAGACTGTCCTTGAAGAACATATTGTAGCTCTCATGCCAAAGCTCGTTTATGCACGTAACAATTTTACAAGCACCACACGGCAGCAACGACAACTTCAAAAAAATTCAAGATCCTGCGTAATCAGCACGAGCCACTTTATGGATAGATGCAGCAATTAGCGCCATACCTGCATCAGCTGAGTCAACATGACCTTCTTAGCCTCGGAAACCTCATCAACAACTTGTGCAAACAAGGATATCGCGCCATGTTTGCGAGAAATTCGAGTGACAGTATTGTCTAGATCTAAGGCTTCCTCGTAGTGACCATTGCGCACGCACGTGTCCATGAGCTGCGGTACTTCTAGAATCTCCAGAAGCTGCATACAGAAAGATAGCCTTCAGTGATTGGAATCCTTCCATCATATTGTCACCACAGCCCACCTTTGCAACTCAGGAAAGCGCGCAGAGTGCGTGAGCGTATATTAGAATGACGAAAGCATGGATTAGTTCCGTCTACCCGGACAGCAAATTGCTATACAAACTATTAGGAGTACGTAGTTACCTGCGAGTGATACTGCAGCGTTGCGAAGAGAGAGTGTCGCTTGGTGGTCAGCGAAGGTGTGTCTCGGACGAACGAATGGCATTGTTCAGTCAGCAACGGAAGCCTCTCTTGCAGCCGCACAATATTATTGGCCAGCTGCTTGAATTCTAAGAACACGTCCTTCGAGCATTTGGCCGTCTGAATGAATCCTGCAGTGAGACGAACCCCGTGAAGGAAATTACATACAATTATATAGGAGGTCCTCTTGATACTGAAATAGCTTTGACTTGGCTCTGTTCTTTCATTCAGAGAAGGGCGCGTCAACGACGCGGCACAAAAATATAGTTACTTGCTTGCAGAGATCGTGCGGCATCACTTAAAGCTATACACCTGGGGCACATAATGAATTCCGAATATGTACAGCAGTACAAGCACAATCCCTATACAGGGAGCAACACAATTTCCAAGTCAGCCATCTACGATGCCATCTACAAGACAGAAAGTCATTGAGCCAGAAACGCTCGTGTGAGACACTACACGAAAGCGATTGATACACATACACACACACACACACACATACATACATACACACACACACACACACACATATATATATATATATATATGTGTGTGTGTATATATATATTGGCACACTGGAAACGTCGCCAATAAAATGAAAACATACAAACAACAATATCGTTCTCCAAATACAGTACCATACAAACCCAATATAAACCCACCAACTATGTGCTAGTAGAGGTACTCTAGGGAATGACGGTACAAATACGTCACACCCGGCACATTTGGTCGCAGTGTCAGAGCCGCTCTGCACCGATCACAACAACCAAGTGGCCAATATAACACGAAACTACACTCAAGTATCGGACGAAACGCTTTTAAGTAGTTTTTCTATCACGAACAGCAGTAACCACCGCTACATTCAGTCGAGACAAACGCGAGTACTCAAAACAGAACGCGAAAACAAACACTCGACGCCTTGAAATAGCTTGCACCCACACATCTCATAGTGCATATAATATTTAGACAAAAGAATATCGATAATCTGATTCAAGGACCAATGAATGGTTTACTTGCGATACAATCCATATACAAACGCACAGATTGGCGTAGCTCCAACTTACAGTGTATCTCGTTCAAGCATCTGTGGTTGCTGCATACAACCACACGCACACACACATTCGCTGACATACTATTTCAAGCATTTGGAATGGCACTGTGAGGGTAATGTATTGATGACACACCTCGGTAATGCTGGAACGCTAAATCCCTAGTGTCGTTGACCAGGCGCTTCTGCTCCTGGTCCAGGCGTTCGGGCTCATGACTGAGTCTGTCAACAGAGAAGCCCGTCAGTTCATTGAGATACGCTATGTGGTCTGCATTGTTTACCTCACCATCCTTCGCCTTCTCAGGGAAGAGGAACGTAAAGAGCTCCGTGCCCTCCATGGTACTCGAGTACTTTAGGATGATGTATGCATCACTGAGTGTGTGCCATTTTAAAGTCAACTCTGATTTTCTCTTTTTGTTGTTGCGTCTAGCTTTCAAAAACCCTATAAACCCTAGAATCCTCAAATATGATTCAATCTGAGCAATGGGCTAAAAGGGTGTAACCTACGCAACCATCAGCAGACGGCAGTTTCAGACCTGCAGTAATATTCAATCATCTTTGCGACGCTGTGTGCGGTTATCACGATGGTATCATATGTACGTACCATAACACGCAGAGTAGCACACACTAGAAACTATGCGAGCAATAGGCATCTTCGATTAATCAAATTCTATACAACTGAAAGGACGGAGAAAAATACATGCTTTATGTTCCCGGGACAAGGCACTCAGCACGTAGGTATGTGAGCATTTCTTGCAGGCTAAATCTGTATTGAGATTGCAGCTATATGTTTGGGTCTCGTTTATATGTACCAGTTTGTAAAAATGAGGCTTTATTTTGGGTCTAAGGTTTGTCTCTTCTGACTGCAGTCTCACTTGCGGCCATTTCCAGCCTAGATAAGCCTAGATATGAGATCTTGCACACAAGCCAAGGTACACAAGTTGAGTATGCTCGCTCTAAAAGCGGGGATATGCACATATTTTGGTGACTATTGTACAGTATAGCTCTATCGGAAGGCGCTAGGTAGAGTGATACTTTTGCACTCGCGTCGCACGTGGTTCTCGAGTTCTGTTCTCGATTGTCCGTTTGGTTGTTAATGTTGAGTATACACGGAAGTAATATACATACAAATAAAGTGAATATGCTGCTGTTTTTTTTGTATTGTATGTATGTATATATTTACTTACTGGATCTCTTATTATCAATATAAAACTTCGTACACTAGTTTTTGACTTAAGCTCAATATTGTTAGAATAATAGTGTTTGCCCAAGCGATGAACCCATATATCCAGGCCATGAGTATATGCCTATGACTCGAAGGTAGACATGAGATTGTCTGTCTTTACGTTCCAAAGCATCTGCTTCTACTGATCTATCAGAAATTGCACGTACCATATATTGTGCACAGTCTGCAAGCCTACGTTTTTATTTTTTCCCCTTTGGTAGCGCACGTAAAGTGGCTTCAAAGTGACCTGCCGCAGTATTGCTAAGTAGATATACCGCTTAAATCCTGCTTTCTGAGAGAGGTGATATTCGCGTAGTTTGTGCGTTCCACAGCTTCATGCAGACCATTTATTGGGAACAAATGCAGTTGACATATGTGGGTAGTGTCGCTCTTCATACTGCTCACGAGATACATACTTTTTGAAAATCGCCATATTGTGTCGATTTCTAACCTTCACCGTCGTATGCGGGCGGAAATATGGTATGTATATATGGATATAGGTGTAATGGTGTAATTGAACTGTGCTATGGCTTGAGTGATTCAAACCATACAGCAATGCGAATCCTATTGAGTGAGTCAGCGAGCCAAACCGCGATCGAAATAAAAAATAATACCCAAAGGGGTCATGACTTATCCACGTAGCTTCATTTCTAATTTTAACTCGTCGTTGCCAAATTTATTTCGAAGGTATGGGGAAGGATATGTTTCAAAATATTAAGCAAGCGAGGCAAATGTTGCAAGAGGCTGATAGCGTGCTCGGCTTCTCGCTATCACGTCTGATGTTCGAAGGCCCAGAGGTGTGCTGATCTCTGCGTGCTTCTAGAAATAGCGGCCATATATCAATAGATCTGCTATATATCTTGCACGTTTGTGAGAGTAGCGAACAGAAGTTGTAGGTTGCGGTATTTGTTAATTTGATACATTCCTCCAATTTGGTCTAGAATGTCTTTATACGCAAGGGCTATGAGCTTGCGTTTTTATCCAGAGTGGTTCATATTCCATAGCTATCGGCATGGTTGCGTAACTCATGAACACAATTGGTTGCTTACCATTTAGGCAACTCTAACAAAAACTGAAAACGCCCAGCCCGCGATTTTGATCAATAGTCTGGCCCATTTCGAAACTGAGGTGAAGGTATAATATATGTGTTTTGTTCAGCACATATGTTTAGGGAAGTGAATTTTTGGATTACGTATTTGAACCCTGCGATATCACTATCGCGATTTATATTCGGTGTTAAGGTGTGTTAAGGCACATGTGTATACTACTAATGTGTGGTTTTGGACACGACTGTATTATGTATAGTCTTGTGGTGGATAGTTGGTGCTACCTGCCCAGCTGGAGCTCAATTATTTGTTCGTAGATACCTTGTGAGTTTTTTGATTGCCATCAACTCTCGTAGGCCAATTCATTCTGATGTAAAATGAATATTTTCTCGCAAATTTGTATACTTCAAAGCAATGATTCTGGTAGCTAGCATCACTTTTCCTCGCCTTCTCGCTTGACATGGCGTGGCTTCTTTGTGCTTCCAGACTTCAAGGCCAGAGCAAGTGCAGAACGCTGCTTGCGTTATGGGGTTCTCACTTGGTGAATACTCCGCATTGACAGCGGCGGGCGCTTTATCGGTACCAGACGCTGTGCGGTTGGTGGTAAGTTGACGTTCAAAGCGGTTGCATCTTTGTAGCGCAAGACACATCTCTCATGTAGATCATTCGCTTTCCTACTGAGTGTTTGCTCATCGAGTTGTCACTTCATATTTCTATTTCCAAGAAGTGATTTTTGGTATAGAATACAATATGCTTACTACAGAGTCGGACTAGCGCGCTGTTGTATAACTACTCTGACACTTTCCATTTTCCAATTTGTCTCTGCGAGTGAAGCATCATAGGGGCAAAGCAATGCAGGAATGTGTCGTCGGCTTGGTATGTCAAAGTAATAATATGAGGTCACGATGGGAGATGAATTGCTGAAAAGATTGTGACGTAGAATGTACCGAAGTTCATTTTACCTGTGGTATCTGCTCTATTTTATATTAATGATGTATACTGCAATATCCGTAACGATTAGATTAGAGTAGATGAAGTCTCTCGAGACATCGGTATGGAGCTGCGTATAAATACAAGTATACTTGTATATTCCCATATACATCGATCACAGGAGACAGCTATGGTAAGCATGTTTCCGTGCTCGGTGGAGTTAGCCGAGGAAATTGTGGTGGAAGGACAAAAATTAGGCGCGTGCGATATATCAAACCATAATTCATCTACTCAAGTTACAATCAGCGGAATGAAGGACGCAGTAGATGCTGCTGTGTTGTACGCAAAATCCCGTGGCGTCAGACGGTGCGCGTCACTTCAGGTAAGCAGTTGAACTCGAATGAGGAATCGATGTGTAATTTGATGATGAGTACAGAGTATTAGTACTTGTTTGGTTTCTAACCTCATATCAGCATTTAACTGTGTGGACTAGCGCCACATGTGGTTGTTAACGATGCGTGACCCGAGGAGAGGTTAAGTTGCCCTTTCTCATCGATTGAAAATCTATAGTACCGCCTGTGACCGAATCTAATCTTGCATTCCAAACTGAATACATAGGTCAGCTGTCCGTTCCACAGTCCTCTCATCAAGGGAGCGGAGGATGTCATGCGAGAACTGCTTGAAACGACACAGATCAATACGCCGAGAACTCCGGTCATTTCCAATGTGACAGGCCAACCGGTACGTTGTTCTGAATTCAATTTTACAGACTATTCCTTTTAGAGGCGGGATTGTGAGTAAGCATTCGGTTCGAAAAATAATAATAATGTCGTGCCAGGTTGGTTTAGTAAAATTAATACCGTATTGGATACACAGCTCGTGCTTCGCTAGGCATTAATAGTGGAAGAGCGAAACATAACCACCAACGAGTGCGCAAATGATATTGCAGTTTTTTGTGTGTGTATTGTATTCTGAGAAGCGAACATATGTCTGATTGAGAATATTTTACATTACCGACAGATGAGCGACCCTAATGAAATAAGAAGGCTCCTGGTAGACCAGGTGTGTGGACGAGTGGTCTTTGCTGATAGCATCCTCACTGCGCAGAAAATGGGAGTCACTGAGTTTATAGAGGTTGGTGGTGGTAAAAATATGTCTCGCTTTGTGGAGCAAACTCTGAAAGCAAACAAGATTCAATAAAATAAGGTGCTTAAAGAAAATCTGTTCGGTTGCGCATACTATTATAATTTTTAGTGGGTACGCATTGGCGAGCAATCCCTCAAAACTGCTATAGTATTTTGCTGGACCTTGTCGAGAGCGTATTCATAAGAAAATGCTTCATAAGAAAATCTACACTGATCAATATGGCGAGACAAACTATACAACGGTGTATTGATTCTAAACGCCTATACAATTTGATCAGCTAGATTCGGCAATGGCTAGGGTTACAAATCTGGGACCACACATTGTTACTTGCATTCTCTCACCCAATTCGGTGCATACATCAACTATCACATTCAGTGCTGAAGCGATGGTCCTTCAGCGGCAAGTACGAACAATTGACAGAATATTTTAATTACCAGACTTGACCAGCAGCACAATAATCTTCCATTTATGCATGTAATGATCGACTAACCTACTGATTCTCTCACACGATAAGAGTTATATTTCTAAATAATGTATAGAGGTACGATGCACTGGAGAAAGCGGGGGTACTAACTTATACAATACAGAAAGTGGTAGGAAGTATGTTGTGATAGTCTGCTTAGTAATAATCATAAGCCCTCGACAGTTCATTACTTCGCTTCAGGCAACTTTTCGATATCCGTCGCTGCAGAGGAATATATAAAGTCTTGACACAAATACATCTATTCGTACGTTGATTCTAAGTTGTAGTATTTGCATCCGTTTCAAACCGTCAGGAGTGAGATTTCGTCGGAAGGCAGAACTCTGGCTATAGCGATGTGCCTAATAGCGGACTAAGCAGTCGGATACGTGGGAGCTTCCATGTAGCATTCGAAGGCGGACAGAATTGTGCATAATCCACTATAACGTTCCACGACGAATCAATGATACAGGTACACATTCGAATAACCGGTTGCATGCATACTGAACAATAATTCAAATTTAGATTCATTCGAGTAGGCAATATTTGGCGACCAATTGCCGCGTACATGCTCCATAATTACCTCCCATCGCTCCTCAGTAATCACACTAGTACGTTCGTAATGCCACACCATCACAATCTGGAAGGCCATCTCTGTTACTGACCTAGTGCGCACCGGTTTAAGGTCACCGGTTTTATATGACCACTACTCATACTAACGACGCAACCAAAAAGCCAATGGCATGTAAAACACACCCACTGAGACATGGCCCAGGGAAAGCTCGCAGCTAGCAACAACCACACGTTTATATCGGCCACCTCGTCTGAGTTGTACAGTCACACTTTCAAAAGCATTCGGCCATCGCGTCTGAGTTGTACAATCACACTTTCATAAGCATCCTTGGCCGCACATCTGTATTTTATTTTATACTGCTGCCATTCGGGATTGGCTGCGTCAGAAGCTGTGCCCCGTATTCGCAATGCGATCTCTTGCACGGACAGACTCGGGCCGTATATACCAGTACGATCATGGTATTTGGCTCATGCTATCAGTGTCTGGCGGATCAGTGTAAGTAGTATCAAAAGTCATGGCCCAGATACCAGGGGGGGTCTTTACGGGCGAGGACGTATGTCTATGCTTCGAGGTCAATTGTATGCGCTGCTGAGCTGTTAGCTGACCACCTGCTAGTTCATGAAACTGCGGAGTAGCAGCCCAGTATATTTTTTAGCAGTCTTTCACGTCAATCTGCCGTGGAGACGGCTAACAAGCGGATAGGAGCAAATATCGTTGCAACTCACAACTCACAATGAATATGAACTCTCGAATGCTGCGCCGGAATTAACACGACCCCCCCCCCCCCCCAAATTTTTTTCTTTGTCTACAAGGATTGCTTTCGGGAAAGGAACATTACTCTGCTCTTCATAACCAATCAATACTTCACTTTGCCATATTGTGAGTCACCACATGTGTCTTAACCAAACCACTTACCCTCCTACAGTGATCACAATCGTACCCCTTGAGTTTTGCGCGTTTATCTTTACCTCTAACGACTTCAATGTATTTGTGAGGTCGTTTACTTCGTTCATCTTCTTCTATCTTCCGTTTGTGCTCTAGAAATCTATCAGGAGCATGATTTGTAGACATATCAGGATGGGGAAGTATAGTTGCGTATGCAACGATCACGAAAATAAAATCATAATCCGCTCAGTGGAAGGGAGATATACGCATATGATATTAGCCGAGCGAGTGCGATCAGCATGTGTAAATTACAACACGAATGACTATGAATATGTTCTTAGGTAGTAGATATGGCTATTCACTTGCTAAGGTAAAGGTATCCATTAAGACAAGCTATTGCTATGACTGATCATACCCCTTTAGTTGACTATCCATGCTTTTTGGTTGATCTTGCTTTGATGTCAATTTGAGCGCCGTTGGCTGGGATTGCATGTCACCGTCACGTTCATTCGTGGTAGAGCGCGTCCTCTTCTTTTTCTGCTATTGTGACCAATCCAGAACACAGAAAAATGAAAATCTTAACTTTGAGCTGAGCTATGCCATTCAGTTTTTCGAGCGTCTTCGCATGCGGAAAATTATTCCTGAAATGGAACTATATTCAGCAACATGCCAAATTGCAAAGACAACACATACAGATCATAATTATGGATGCAACTAAAGATGTCTAATACTTAATACATAAAGTCCAGTTAGCACATTCGCGGGGTCACAAAGGACTACCTGTTTGGTATTCGCGTACTCTTCACCATCATTTGGTTGCTGTCCATGCTTATTGGTGCCAGGAATGGCATCATGATGACTCTCCGGATCACTGTTTGTGCCATTGCTGACATTGAGGGGGTCTCCTGGCTGGAGCCGTGGAAATCCCACTTCATCCGGACTCCCAGATGCATCATGTCTCACATGAGCCAGAGACTCCTTTTGCACACCTGTATCGGCTATACTTGTACGAATTTCCAATGCATTCCTTTCGACTGATATTTTCGTGTCCTCTTTTGAAAAGAGCCAAGCCTTCGGATCTGATACTCCGCTCGTTAGTTTCTTATTATTTCGACCATCTATCTTAATTGGGCCCCGTCCCGGACGTCCACTCCTCCGCATTCCCTTTGGCTGGTCTTCATGCGCGTGCTGCCGTAGTACCTGCGGACAGTTGAAATTGCATTCCTCTGTACCTCCGTCATCCTTTGGGACATTTTTCTCAGCTACATCCAATTGCGAAGCCTTGCTTTCTGCCTCGAACTGAATGACTGTGCCACTGTCTTGAGGGTTGGTAGCGCTGTTGTCGGTGTCATGTATGCTCTGTTTTCGCAGTGCTATAGTCCCCACACTCTTCTGGAATCTGTTAAAACCTTGTTTCGTCGAGTTGTATGTTCGTGACTTGTCCTCGACCACATTGACCTCACAAGTGTCCTTTCCATGACTCTGTGATCTTCTTCTCACATCCAGATGTGCATGCCTAATTGAGATGGATTTCTTTGCTGCGTTTGATCGTGAAAACGGATCAGATTGTTCTCGTGAGACTGGTACAGACGCCAATTCAGAACTATTCTGTCCATCTTGTCGGCTGTGATTGGTGATTTCATCGATTGGCGCAGGAATGATAAGTGCTCCTGAAGGAGATTTCCCATTGCCATGCACATCCCAGTCTACGCGTCGGATATCCATTGATTCGCCTGGAGCTGATATACGGGCAGCCGTACCGGTTTGATTTCTGTGTCCAAAGATTGCCTGGTTATCAACATTCTTATTTCCAGAAATTCGTTGGTATTCGCTACCGGACTCCTTCGTGATAGATGACGAATCATTGTTAGACCTAGGCGTGTCGGCTGCAGTACCATTACGCCACCTACCCAGCTGAAGATCGTCTGCTGATATAGAAGCTTTGCCCTTGCCAGTTACATTGAGTAACATCGTGCTGTACTTGATGGCGCGTGTGTTGGCATTTCTATATTGGGTCGTTCGCTCAGCAAGTGTGGCTTCCAACTCTTCGATATGCCGTGCTTTACTATGCGGAGCAAGAAGAAGAGGTATGCTTCTTAGACACGAGGACAAGTATGGAGAATGACATCGGAACACGCGGCAATAAAAGATAGGGAGCCATCTGTAGCCATACCTATTTCGATGAATACAACTCATCGAGCGTCGCGTTGAAACACCAGGTGAGGTAAACAACCCAGATACAGAAGATTGTGTATAGCAAAGGCAGTTAATTGGCATACCTCTCCAAGCGCGACAATAGACCATCCTTGTCCGCCTCCAAGATGATGATTCGGTTACTTAATTCTCGGATCTGTTGCTGCGTTGAATTCCCTGATTCTATATTGCTGTCAAGCTTGAGCTCGTCTAAATAATAAGGAGCACGACAACGCGTAAGGATGGTTGGCTTTTTAGAAAATTACACATCCACAACCGTCATAAACCAGAGGTACATAAATATATTTGAAGTCGAAACTTTAAAGAGGACGCAAATTCATATCGCAACCTGTTCGCAGACCTGTAGCTAACAGATAAGTAATCATTATTTCTTGTTTCTAACAAAATAGCAGCTCATTGAGGCTACATCTACCTCTACTTCCGATTAAGCGTACGTATTGTATTAAAACGTAGATCAGCCACACAGACTATAAGCTTCTGATAAAAACACATCCTGCCTCTTTGGCTGTGAATTTAACAGACTCGTAGCTGAAAATGTATTCGTCTCGTGCATAGTCTCACATATATCCACAAGAGCCTATTTTTATTGTAAACTCATATAAAACCTATCTATTGCTATTATACCTAATCAAATTACCGTTGAACTGAAAGGGATATACGCACATGTAAGCCTCGTTAAATCATTGCCATTTCAGCCATCACTCACATTGTTCCGATTGATCGTTCATCATTTTCAGCACCGATGCTTGCAGCTTTGTGATCGCCTCCTCCGCCATCGTGTAAGCCGTAGACATCTCCGTATCATTTTCTGCTTCGACCTTTTCAGCCCTAAGGCGACTCCGCATATCTATACAACACTGTCATAGAGCAGCACATATGCGTATTCTCAACTCACTCACCAATTACACAACGTGCTGGACTACCACCTGATTGCTATAATGTGCATGCGACGAGAAGTGGCGGGTACAAATTCAATGGCACACGAAAGATAAAATTACTGAAAGTTAGCGTGACCATCTTGATGGCTCCGTTCAGATCTTGATTTTTATATGAAGTGCATAGATAGTTATTTATACTCTTCATCTGTGACATCACAGGTCATGTATAATTTGGCGCGTAAATCCTATAGCTCCCAAACCTGTCAAATGCAAATGTCGTGTGGCTCAAGCCTGTCAAAATCACTATGTTTCAATTGCAGCCCATTTCCCCATATATATAGAGGGATAGATTTCGCTGTACAAGTGATATCCATACAAGATGAGAACAAAGTGTCGACGACACAGCACCCCTGCTTCACACGTTAACTTTAGTTCTGAGGAACGGGAACCTACACGAAATTCCTTGTTGCCACCCCTCGACCCGTACGTGTTCAGTGATTATGTCAAGTTCTTGTCCCGTCTCGATGGATATGTAAAACAGAAGCAGCGCAAGTCTGAGCCAAATCCCTCGCTACATGTTTCGTTTGAATTCGAGACGCCTGAGGAAACCGTTGACAACAAAGCGGAAGGAAACGACGAGCACCCCGTCTTAATGCGCTCGACGCAGGCTGTGTCTGATAGCGTGGGTCCTACAGAGTATATTGATTTAAATTATACAGCAGTCGAGGCCACGGACATACCGACAACAAAAGAATTCAGCCATAATGATCCTCGGATTGTGGTTCCGTGCTATCACTGCCGCCTAATCATAAACACATTCAAAAATATGGGAAGTACGACAGATGAGCTAACGGCTCACTATCAATCAATTTTCCGTACTCACATGCTGCGTGAACACGGCGTCGATCTAAACGCGAGTACACGTTGATCGATTCGATGCTCTACAGTGGGGCATCATCAGTCAAGATGGATTTCGGAAGTTGTACCGGAACCAGGTGCTATATTGACTGCCTTTATTTACACTGAGGATAGACCAACTGATGATATCTCAAAGATCAACGCTAAAAATTAAAAATTAAAATACCATGGCCTTCGGACGTTAGTTCGACCTACTATTTTATTCGTATTTCTTTTCTAGAGAGGGTCTTGAAAATACACCCGCATTGAAGTCTGTATTATTTGGTTTTACAGGGTGTGGACGTGAAGGAAGTGTCAAAGTGTCAGAATGCAGGGTTTTCTGAGATATGTAGCGTCATTATTTTAGGAACACTTTTAGGCGTTTGTAAATATTTTTAATATTTTAGGTTCTATGCTTTATATTTATACATGCATGTGTGATTATTTCAGGAGGCTATGATTATTAGTTGCGAGACTCTCCCTTAATTCATCACTCGTTCGGTTGGGATTGCATGATACGACTGCCCCTGAGATGTATATCCTTATGCCTCAGGCCTAAATGTGCCTGCTTGAATGAATCGGTCCTTGGTTCTCATACTCTCGTGACTTGTTCATTTGCAACGGTAAACCTTCGTTTAGGATGATGGAATCGCGCATTGAGATAGATACCTCTGGCGTCGTGAAGGATGGAGAGACATACTTTGTCCCCGCTCCAAAGCTTGTCAACTGCCTTGCTATGGACCCCTGTGGTAAGTTTGAGCTGGGTGACTGCACTCGTGTAATTCAATATAGCGATACCCAGCTGTATGGCTCGTACCTGACTTTCAGCTAGCGCGTGAGTGGTCCTGCACCATTCATGGCAATATCACACACAGGAAGCTAAATTAAAAACGAGAATATGAGAACCAAGGACCGATTCATTCAAGCAGGCACATTTAGGCCTGAGGCATATGGATATACATCTCAGGGGCAGTCGTATCATGCAATCCCAACCGAACGAGTGATGAATTAAGGGAGAGTCTCGCAACTAATAATCATATTTGTACACATGTCTTCTAACTTTTCAGTTGCTCCTGTCCTAACTATGGAGCGCGTGCTGTTCGTTCCGTCCGTGGATGCTAGCCTATGTACATCGGATGTGTCTCAATTAATACATGATTCATGGCCTCGATTCGTAAGATACATACATCGTGTAAAAAAATGATATGTTCTGATATTCAAAACAGTACAGTTCGCTGAGATCTACAATATGGTTTGCCCGCTGTGTTCACGAATCAACAACAAGGATATTTATATATATATCCATAAACGTATAAACAAGTCCATATACATACAAATAAATAATACATATATATTTACATTTACATATACATATACATATACATATACATATAAGTAATACATATACAGACACATATACATATACAACTTTATATACATATACATAAAACATATACATATACATAGACGAATGCACACACGTACACATACTCATATACATATACAGAAACATATACATCATATACATTTACGTATACATATTGTATACATATATATGCACATGTACACGTGCACATACATATACATATACAAATCCATTTATTTATTCATATTTCTATACATATACATATATATGTATATATAAATGTTCATGTATATATTCATGTACATATGTATGTGTACATGTACATGCACATATACATATACATAAACGTAGATCATACATATTCACTTCTACTTAGGCATGTGCAAATACAATTACAAATACATATAAAAATCATATACATGTACATATATACATACATATACATACATACATATATATATATATATATATATATATATATATATGTATGTATAAGTATATATATACTTATATATATACTATTACATATATATATATAT